GCAATCAAGAAATTTCCTGTTTTTATGGAAGCCAGTGGGTTATTGCCAACATCAAAATATCGCGCCAATAAATGCTACTCCCTAAGTCTAAAACGTACGGTTACAGCAATGTACTAAGCCTGTATCATCAGTAATTTGCTAACTTCCTGCATTTACTTGCGTCCCTTATTAATATACAGAACAATACATGCATTGCAGACATTCTCTGTGCAGCCCTCAGACAGCAAAGGCACGAGAGCATATCTGATACACAGCGTGCAAATGCTCCACATCACCGTCATTTTCTCTGTTATTATCAAGCTATTGTACACGGGTCCTTAACAGAATGCCACGAAAGGCGAAAGCAGTTTACGTTGTCATGACAACGCGCTGAATTGCTTTATTCCACTCAAAATGTTATGGGCTGGGAGAAGCGGCTGTAACGTATTTCAAGGTACTACAAAGGCTCTGGATTGGAGAAACTGCAGGAAACCACAACAGCCCAAATACGGATAGCCGGTAGCCCAGCTACAATGCGCTCAACATACAACAAAACGGGCCGCGCCACAGTGACAACTCCGTCTCACTGCAAGATCGGGTGTTGCTTAAACAAGTACAGCCATGCGAAATCCAGACGTAAACAAGAAACCATCACGCGCGACACAGCGACGTCACTCATACTTCCTCCGGTAAGTGTGCATCGAAATAATAACTCCCGACCTGGATTCACAGTTCCAAGCATGGCCGTACACCTCACAGGCATTAGAAGTACACCAATACTGTTGGGCACTGTCCACTTGCCTGAGGTATATCAGATATACACGACGTTTCGGAAGTAGGTTCTACTCCCGTCTCAAGGCGATTCGCGTGGTTGTCATGAAACTGACATACTTTCCATTGCGTTAGTAGAGACGATCAGAATGGAAACCGGGGCCTTCGGAATGCTAGAGCAGTACGATAATCACCAAAGAAGAAATCAACCTTCCTCAAGTCTACCAGCAGAAAATACCGAGGCAGTAACTTGAAACGAGGTAAAATGTGACGTGATGTAACATATCACATAACTCGGTCAACATCCTCTCCTATGTGTGTGACGTTAATGTACAATCCCACCTGGTTGCTCGTATGATTTCCTCGACGTTTTACATTACGTTGCGTCGCAAATCGATGCAGTATTGACATCAGGCCTACATGAATGTCGGTAACGCGGACCGCCGGAAACAGAAGACACTGGAGTGTCGGATAGCAAGTATCCCTTAACTCTGCATGCAATTAATCCAAAGAACTATTCTTTATAGCTTTTCATGTGACAATTCAGAAACTAGCTCCGATAACAAACTGACGTGGAAACACGGTCCATGGCAATTCCGGTTATGTATAAGTGAAGAATGCCGTCTTCTGGGATGTGGCGCCGTGTACAGATTGTGTGAACCGACGTTCCCGAGTAACACCCCAGAAGACGGCACTATTTATAGTCACCGCCGTAGAAACCTCAAATCTTACACATGTATAAGTATGATTCTGAACGTGCAAAACAAAAGTGTTAGTAAAATACAAGCAGAAGAAATTAAATATAAGACAGAATAAAGGCATTAAGATATACCATAACAGCTAAGTATTTACTCCCTAAATGGAACAATTAAACTATTACAGGCTATATAAGGGGGCAAGCGGTAGCTTGGTCGGTTGAGACACTATGCTACAAGTCGGAAGGTTGCGGGTTCGAGTCCCGATGAGGCGGATTTTTTTTTTTTTTCAATTTACCTAATCCTTCTAGCCGCACTATGACCCTGGGGTCGGCTCAGCCTCTAAAAGAAATGAGTACCAGGAATCTTCCTGGGGGTAAAGTGCGACGGACCCATAATGCTGACAACCTTGCCGCCATCTTTGAGCCAATTCTCTAGAAAATGTGGGAGCCTCGACGTCTCACATCCTTATGGGCCTTCACGCCCTGTTACACGGATAGCTTTACCTTTACAGGGTGCACAAAGACGGACTCCCAAAATCCAAACGGTTGTACAGAGAGGGTGTAGGGAGGCCATTTAAAGGCGGCTATAAACTCCACACATCCACTCCCCCATACGCCTTCATGGCACAGTGCTTAATCAGTTAAGCACAGAGGTTTCACAGGGCAAAGACGAACGCATTTCCGACATTATATGCATGCCTTCTTCAGACTGTGGTCTTCTGGGATGTGACACCGTGCAGTCTTGCAAGCGAATGGCGACGTTTGGGGGAACATGCAGCCTCCATCTTCAGGGCTAAAGTACAACAACCCAGAAGAACTGCAAAGACGCTTTAGCAGTAACAATGGTTACACTGCGTCTGTTTTTAATGATGAACTGGGAGCAATGCAGAAGGAGGGACTGTGGAAAACTACGAACATCTAAGTCTGGAAAGTCGACATTGGAACCCAAGACGCGCCAACTGCCATCCCGCGACATTCATATCGATCTGTAGCATTAACTCAACAGAACGCACGAGATCATACAGACTTACACGAAATGTACGGATTGCGTTTACTATGAAATTTCTTTGTCGTGTATGTTCATCTCTCGATGAATTCACATTCACTGTAATTAACTTGATTAGTCATGTTCATCAGGCACACCGATGCAGTACTTCCATTTATTGCGGCTACTCTCACTTGGACCAACTGAGACGAAAGCTGTCCAATCACCGGCACTTAACAAAATTTCTAGGTATATCGCCGCCATACAAAACAAGAGACTATTTAAAAACTTCCATCTGATAATGATTTTTGGAAAACCGAAACATGTAATGCAATAAATACTAATGACGTAATCCTTAACATCAGACTGTCCTGTGTGACCGGTATGCAACTTACGCACACCGGTACAGTCATGGTGTTTGCTTTCACACGGGCTGGAGCTATTTACTTTATACGGCGGCTACGGTTTAACGGACACAGATGGTCTACTTTTTATTTTAACACAACAAATAACGACAGAGGAACCTAGTGGAACGGACGTTGAGCGCAACTGGGCAACTTTAATGTCATCTTCCAAATTCGCTTTTAGTTTTCCGAGTGATACATTTCGAAGAGGTTTCCATACCAAAATTCTGTCGTCAGCAAGTCCCGTTCTGGAAACTCATCAGGCAATTAGTCCGTCCCTGTCGGGATTCGAACCACGGGTCTCTATTCCTCGGCTAATCCTGAATTTTGCAATGGGGCGAAGAACTTGAGGCCTTGATCTGAATGGACAAACGTGGAGAAGATGATGCAGTGAAACAGCAACAAACACTGACGGGTCCCACCCGGTGGGAAAGGTTTCAGTCCTGCAAGCTGAACGGTGGAAGATGGGCACAAAGCACGGTTCACCGAGTGCCGTGGTCCTCGGGTAAGCATTTCCAATGGCCACAGCGTTCCGTCGCCACAGTTCAAAAGATATTACTTGAATACGACCACCTTCATTTACAGAAGCTCCCATCTGAAGTCTTCCACAGCCAACCCAAAAGATTTTCTTCCGTAAAACTGCTGTGCTACTTGCTTTCAAAAGGAAATGGGACAGGCACAAGCGCGTGGCACATTAACACTCACGCAAAAACAGTGACTACATTTTCAGAATATACGTAGAAAATTCACCTCAAGACAGGGAAAAGTGTTTCGGACAAAAGTCTCTTTAGTCATAAGAACAGCGGATGGCTGCATGAGATATTACTGGCGACTGTATGTGGCAGTATTCGAGAATCACTGGTCTAGCATATGTGGAAGCTTTATCAAACCGTCCTCTCTACATCTGTTATAATTACGCAACTTTTCGTTTATCTTATCGATTCCACGAGACTTCAAAATTCGTTTGATAGTTGGTGCATTTAATTATGCTTTTCAAACTGGATACTATATATGGCGTCAAACGGCAGGATGACTTCACATAACAAATTGTGAAGCCTATATGAGGAAGGTGTGGCCTGTTTCGGGGTGTCATCCCAACATGAAGAAAACCACAAAATTGTTGAGTAATCTCAGTTCTGGGCTGAGAATCGAATCGAGGATTTCTCCAATAATAAAGCGAGCGTGCTTTTGCTCTCATGTACGTACGATGACACGCAACTTAATTCGAATATGTTTTTCAGACCTAGGCATACTCACCGTTATACCTCTCCCCTTATCCAACTCTTCATATTGTTTGTCTTCATTATTATTCGTTTCATCATTGAACCGCCTGTGGTCTAGTGTTCAGAGTTCCTGGCTACAGATTCAGAGGCCCGGGTTCGATTCCCGGCACTACCAGATTTTCTGAGAAGTAGTGCGTCTGGAAAGGGGTCCACTCAGCCTCGTGAGGATAACTGAGGAGCTACTTCCATGTAATAGCGGCTCCGGTCTAGAAAAATGAAATTAATGCCCGCGGGGATTCGTCACGCTGACCACGTGACACCCTCTATCGGCTAAAGTTGGCACTAACTTCGTCCACAAGCGGCGGTGGTTCGGTCGGTAGAGTTCGCTTGCGGACTAAAGTCACGGAGTTTTTTCTTCGCTTCATCGTATCCTTGTTCTTCCTCCTCCTAGAACTGCAGCTTTCGGGGGTCAGCAGTGGTTTCCTATACTATACATTTCTAAAAATTTCTGCTTTTCAGCACTACTCTATACCGTCTCTTCAGCCTTCAGCCTTATTAAACGTAAATCCTTCTGTCACAAATCCAATAACATGCCCAGGCCAACTAACTAACCGGATTATTATAATGCATAGTTCATTAAAATCCGAACTGATTACCATTACCTTGCATTTACTGGTAAATCCTGTTAAACAATGATGCCATACCTAGCGCTACATGTCGTTTAAACAAAACTCATGCACATTACCGCCACAAGAGAGACTTCCCTGTCCAAGAAGCAAGAACATGTTAAAGCCACTTCATAACAGTGACATTTCGTGACAAATATACGAGTTAAGTACAACAGAAACCAGCCCTAAGCATTAACCCCATCAAACAGTGGCAGTCGTCAGAACCTACCTACAGGCTGGATAAGAGTATAGAGGATTTGCTCTGATACTCACCTAGTGGCTTGCCGTTTACTGTTTGCGTCATCCATTTCGGGGCTCGAAGGAGGATGGACTGGGCCAGGAGGAGTCCGGGATTCTCCCGGTGCGGCAGGATCCCCCTCCAGACCGGCCTGAAACACATATACGTTATGCTGTTTAATGCAAGTACCGTTATCATGATCGTTGTCGAATATTCGACTGCAGAAGACGACAAAGACCATGTAAAATTCTGTTAAGGAACGCGTTACCCCGGCCCAGAATGGATCAGGGTACATTGAGATGCAAGCTCACAGTTCTCTGTGGTACAGATTTCAACGACGGACTGAACCCCATTGGAAAGATATGCAATGTGTCTGTGTAAGGTCTACAATATCCTTAACCAAGTAGAATGGAAGATGCCAAGGCCCATTAATTTAATAATTACAATAATCACTGGGTCTCACACAGAACACAGACCGAGATGCGGTCTGAGAAGAAAGCGGTACCGAGTGTACGGAGGCTAAGAGAGAGAAATTACGAGCGAACCATAGAACGTCATATACAGAGAGACTACCTATTACTTCATTCGTGTCACCTAATATCGTTAGAGAGATAACGCCAATAAGTGGAACGGCGTGGGGAGAATCAGAAAATGAAAAGCAATTTTTAGAGCAAAACCTCAACGGAAGAAACTAGGTGTTTATTTTGGATACTCTTGGCAATGGTAGGAATCGACCAAGAACCCTTTCAACACGAAACCTGTATATCAGCATCTCAATGAAAGAGAAAGGCAAAGTCATCTCATGAAACAGTGACCATACACAGTGTGTCCAGGTTCTGTTAGGGCTATTTTTATTCAAAATAGTCTCCTTCTAAATCAATACATAGCTTGAATCTATTGAAAAGTTTTCGAAAACAGTCACTGTACTCCTTTTGTGAAATCGCATTTAAAACTGCGGTACATTCCCTTTGGATGTCCTGGATGGTGTGACGGTCTCCTTTCATCGCCAACTTAACTTCTGGGAACAACCAGAAATCTGCTGGAGCCAAATCTGGCGAATACGGAGGATGATCAAAGACTGTGTTCCTTTTTCTGGCCCAAAAATCCCGCACCATCTTCGATTTGTGGGGTGGGGCACTGTCGTGGAGGAGCGCCCAGGAACCTTGCTCTCGGTATTAAGGTCGAATTCGAAGAATTCTCGCCCACAAACGGCTGACGACTCCGAGATAGTAATCAGAATCCACTGTTTGACCTTCTGGAAGAAATTCCTTGTGAATGATTCCTTTGGAATCGAAGAGAACGGTTAGCAGTGTCTTTACTCGACTCTTCTGCATGCGCACTTTCTTTGGTTTCGGCTGGCTTCTTTGGGCTCAGCCACGCTGCACTCTACCGCTTTGTGAGATACTCATATTGAAAACACCATGTCTCGTCACCAGTAACAATCGATTTTGTAAATTTTGTATCACTTTGAGCCGACCATAACATGCCTTTGCAGTGTTCCACTCTGGCATGTTTTTCATCGCCTGACAGCGAGTGCGGTACAAACCGCGCACAGACCTTCCGTTTTCCCAAATCCTCCGTCAAAATTTGATGCACAGTACGTTTTTGTATTCCCAAAACCTCCTCGATGAGTCTTGCAGAAACATATCTGTCTGATGCAAGGATTTCGGTCCGGTCACTTTTTTCACATTTTCTTCAGTGCGACTTGTTCTCGGCTTTGATGCACGTGGAGCGTCTTCAATGTCCTCCTTGCCGTCACGAAATACAGCATACCATCGAAAAATGTTCGAGCGACTCAATCAATCACTACCGTACACACTTTATATCCTTTCGTATGCTTCTCCGGCTGTTTTGCCTAACTTCAAACAAAATTTGATGTTGGTTCTCTGTTCAACCGCCATTTTCCGACGAGCGTCAGAACAGTACTGTTACATTCAAGGTCAGAAAACATGATAGAATCTTAAAGCCACAACTCGCTAACAGATGGCACTGCAGGGCAAATTAAAAAAAAAAAGTCCTAACGGGTCCTGGACACACCGTGTAAATGCGGCGTAAAAAATCGACCTCAGTCTTCTAGAGAATCGCCTATTGCTTTAGTTGTGCAGTTCCTCTGCATCCTGGCATCCGCCCGGACGGTTCATCCACCAGACCACTCCTGACTTCATAAGAATATAGATATTTCGCAGCATAGGGACATAATACAGGATGATTAAAAATGATCTTTACACTCTTGAAAATTGATTATACACAGACTAAGCTCTCACACTAACAGAAGCTGCAGGATATAATGAACAGTAATTCGAGTTTTTATTTTCAAGCACATGGATAGGTTCCGCGTACGATTACAGATCACCCATACGCGTCAGAACGGTAATCAGTTCCTTCCACGCACTGCACAACATTTGAAAGTCACCTCATTCACATGCACGTCGAATTCTGACTTTGACAGCTTCTGAAGTTTGAGGCGCTGGGGGCACAGGCACACTCCTTGACACACGCAGAGAGAAAAAAATCCAATGTAGTCAAGTCTAATGTTCATTTCTGCCAACGCATCTCCAGGCAGATGTTCACTGAGATAATCTGACAATGGGAAGGTGCAACATCTTAATAATAACGTGTCTTCATGGTCTTGTTTAAGCTGTGGCATCGACCGAAGTTCCTGTGTCGCAATTTTTGCTATTGCGACTGCACCTTGAAGGTATACACGTATTAAACACGCGCGCATGCTCTTCACTATGATCTAAAACTTTCATTAGAGCTGGTAATTACGTTATTTAAAATAAAATTTAAAAATGTGAAAGTCACTTGTGTCATGACAAATAGGGCCAAATTGAAAACCGTGTTACTAATTTCAGGGTAACCCTCCCCCCGCACCCACACAACAAGAGGGCCTGGATATCTCACTCAGTAAAGTGACTGCCTACGGGTTGGACGGCTGTGGTACTACTCCCAGTAGATGAATGTTTCTCTTCGTCAACACGTTCAGATCGGCTCATGGGGCCTACCCAGCGGTGGGTCCCTCTTCACGGAGATGAGGCGTAACATCCACATCCCGCCCGCCCATCCGATAGGTACTCATGACGTGGTGCTTGACTGCAGAAATATCTCCGTACCTATTTCTCTCAATACAAAATCTCTCCGAGTAATTAAGGAGATTAAACACAAGGTGGCACGAAGAGACAAAAACGACTTCCTCAGTACGGGGTAAATTCTTGTGAATCATTAAAACCCCGCTAATAATGAAACGAGTTAGGAAAGGCATGCATAGAGCAATAATTCTGGCGCGTTCCCTCCCCTCTGTTTATCCCAGAAACAGTAAGACTTAAGGAGAATATAAACTGTTTCCTTTTCCTACGCAACTTTCTCTTGAAACAACATTCGCTCCGATAAATGTTGAATGTTGCATGCGAATCATATTCGAAATGTGCGACGAAACGCTTAGGTCTTCTTGCATAATGCTCGTCAGTTTTGTCGGATTTTAATAAAGACTCAAATATCTCTACATATTTTCGTGTAAGTCCTAAAAGTTAATTTTCATGAACATCCGATGAGCGGTTCTCGAGCTGTTACACCCGGGGACAGAGCGCCTAGGAACCATTGGAGATGGGGCTGGTTGGGCCACAAAGCCGGTCTGAACGCTATGGAGGAGAAAGAAATCTCTTGCCCTGCCGGGACTCGAACCCCGGCCGTCCAGCCAGCAGCGTAGTCGCTATACCGACCGCACTCTCCCTGCTACAATTTTCGTTGCGAAAACGACAGAAAGCGGAAGATGTTTCTGCGTTATATTGGCGTGTGAATTTGAAAAGCCCAACAGCTAAGTGCTGGGAACGTCATTAAAAGAGCATAGCTAACATCGTGCGTGTTGGTATATTCAGGAGGTATTCGGATCAGATCTCGGCCGAGTTACCGAGGGTTTACGTGATTTTTCTTGGCATATCCAGGTCAATGCCGAAATACAACGCTAAAAGAGGTCAAAATCACCTTTAAAATTCTTATGCATTCTACATTACTCTCTTCTCTAATCTCACTTCTCTGCAGTTGAAACGTCGTCCTTAAAAAGGCAGGTAGACCTATCACTGAATGCCTTTCTAGTCACCAGGCTTCGTCCTAATTCACATTAGACCTGATGATCTTTATACCAAATGGTAGCCTTACTCAAAACAAAGAAATCGAGTTTTATACACGCAAGATCACGCCAATCACAATCGTCTAATCTAAGCTTCTTGTGACTCACATACAGCACAAACCATACTTTGTCATGTCTCACGGTAATTACAGGCCTACTCAACATTCAGACACAGATGCATCCTCTCACACACACACAACGTTTGAATTAATCTTGCAAATTAACCTGTCAAATAATATAATCCTTCCTCCTGGCAGAATACCAAGAAACCAATACTGGTGCTACTTCATACTCGTATTTACGTACATGCAATAAACCGCCTTTCTGATTGGATAATTTGTCTCAAACGCAATGGTATCAACCAATTATAACAGGCATTACACCGAAAACTTTTAATCTCATTTCCAATCCAACCATTTTTCAGGACGAATATTACAACAAATAACTTTGTATCTGAATCCGACGGAAAATGTGAACGTAGGGACTGTCCTCCAGGCAGTGTGTGTAGGGGACCAGTCGTACAGTAGCGCCTGGAATATATGCATACACATCTCTTCGTATAGAACAAGAATTTTATAGCAGTTTCATGGTCGACTGTTCCAGCATTCTGCCTCTTTGCTTGGGGCTTTCGTCAGAAACTAACACTGTCAAAAGCAGTTTACTTTCATTTATGGCAACCAATGTCAATGTGCCTGCGTACCAATTGATGGGGCATAGAATCTGGTAGGATAGCATCCACATGAGGCTGTCCACCTTCGTATTTTTTACCTTCCTCGTACGTAACTATCGGGACAATGTGAACTTATAGCATGGATTCTGAAGTTTAGTGAGGGAAATTATCTTAGAAGTATGTCACTTCTATTACCGCGACATATTTTTTTTTGTCGAATGTAAATTTATACTGTGGAGGCCCCCATGACGTCAACATCAAAGTTTCGGTTTAATGGCGATGACCAATGAACCACCGGAGCTAGGGCCTATATCACAATCACCCAACAGATGTATGAAACATACATATTTCCTTA